ACAACGAATCCTAAACTTAAGCTCTAAATAAGAGAATACGCTACGCGAAAGTTTTATATAATAGAATCATAAAGACACTTGAACCTGGAGTGCTCTGATACCAACTGTGATACCCCTTGATTCTAGAGTCACGGATGATCAAGTCCGAGCATAGATCTGAGGGATACCAGACAATTAATATTTAAATAAACACAGATTACAAAAAGAATTTAGAAATAAATAATAAAGGCTGGAAGAAATCTAAAATATAAATCCTTAAAATTAAATAATTAAAATCCCTTGAGAGCCGGCTCTGTCCCTGTTTCCCATCATCTTCTTCATCTCCGATGATATTAAAATCCCTCTGTAATGTTTTGTTTAGGTTCCCAGAGGTCCATCTATGTCCTAATACTATCCTAGAAAATTTTAAAACATAGTATGCATCATGAACAACAATTAAACTACATAATACGAAACAATTGATACAATAATTCAATCTCAATTATCAACATGTAGCAATGGTTTAAACTCTAAATCACATGTATACATAATCAATTTTAATGTCCGTTTAGTTCCTGGAGATTATCTAGGAATGCACAAAACACAGGTCAAAGGAAAAGAGCAAGAAATAGAACTTGCCTCTGATTTCAGTTTTGAAACCTTAACGTCGTCTTCCTTAATTTTTCGGCAAATCCAAGACTGTTCTCAACTCCTTTATTGCTCCTAATTCAACCCACAAGCAAACTTCCAACAACCCTCCTCGATTCAGCCCTTGTTCTTGGCCAAACCCTAACTCGTTCTCTCTGTTTTCTCTCAAACCTCACTGTTCTTGAATAGGGTTTGTGTTTTAAACCCCAAGTAGACATAATACGATATATATATATAGGCAAAAATAGTTTTAACCTAATTCTATTCATGTGAGGAATCGGCAAAGAAAACACAGAAATAAAATATAAAATATATATATGTATATAAGTCGGCAATTTGAATGAATATATATAAAACCCTAAAACTTTATGATAAAACTAATGAAACTAATTTAATTATTAACAATTACTAATAAATAAACTAACCCAATATACATATATACCCATATATACATGTATATCCATCCATGGGTAAAAACTGTACTCATTTAAACTATCCAAATAGTCTATTGATCCTATTTAAGCCCAACTTCATTTAAAAATAAAAATAATATATTTAATTTAACATTCAATTTCCACATAAGCATATATTTCAATTTAAAACAAATAAATCAAGCGAAACAAATAATTATATTCCACATAACCAATTTAAACAATTATACAAATAAACAATAAAATAAATAAATCAAGTAGACAATTAACCAATTAACAAATAGCCAAGTAATCAAATAAAGAATTTAAAATTTCAATAAAACCATAAAAGAAAATATCGAGACTATCCTTTTAAAATTATGGGTATTACAAATTCTAACGTTACCGAGAATTGAATTAGACTAGATGGTTTATATATTGAATTTATAGATTCGATTAGAGTATCTTCTTACTTATCTTCATACTTTGTGTAACAGTCATAACATAATAAAGTTTTACAGTGGTCTCTACAGTAATAACCTTCTTTAACAGTTGTACTACATTCTTTACAATCAAAAGATGAGAAATGAAAATTAACTAAAGTATAATGACATGATGGATTGCTTATAGTGTAAACGAAATCTTCCATTGTATGAAATCCTTGCTCAAAGTCTTCATCATTATCGAAGTCACTATCTGTGATTTCGATACTATATATACTTTCATTATCATCATCAGAATCATAAATACTTTCTACTTCATATAATTCTTCTATTTGTTCTTCAATATCTTCAAGTATATTGTTTTTTTCCTGTTTTCTTTTGATATGATTCTGTTTATATCTATAAGGGCAATTTGGCCCTTATATGACTTGGATCACTACAAATAAAATATTTTAATTTCTTTCTTTTGTGGGTAATGTGTTTACTTTATTATCCTCGTTACCTTTATTATATTTTTTATTATTATCTTTATTTATTTTTTGTTTTTTATACCAAGGCCACTTCCTGAATTGTCTGGGGTTAATTTTGAAATAAGGTTTTTTATTACAGTAATTTTTGTAGGTCTTGTTTTTGCGTAGATTATATTTTTTAGGTTTATTACGTTTATAATTATAATTTTTCTTGCTTTTGCATAGATTATATTTTTTAGGTTTATTACGTTTATAATTATAATTTTTCTGAGACATACAACCATACTGCGGTGGAAAGTCAATTTGCCTACACGTATAATAAAATTATTTTTTAATTTGTTGAGATTCCTTACGTTGCCTACATTCTGCTTTTAAGATATTATAAACATGATTTACTCTATCTCCTATAGTTAACTCATCTCTTTTGGGATTTTCTAACCATTTTTTCCATATCTTAGTTCCTGCACTTTCGGGTAATTTCTGAAGATACCTATCGATTAATGTCATATCATTTTTTTTGCCTGTAACTGTGTAATATTTGAAAAACTTATTAGTGTAATCTTTTATATATCTAAAATCACAAATCTGTAGTAATTCTAAATTATGTAGAGCTTCTGTTTGTTTTATTTGGGTTTCGTCTAATAATCTATCTTCTCCTACTAACACCTTTTTTTATTAAACTAGTAAACCCTTAAATTGTAAAATTATTACGTAAGAGGGCATAATCATTAGGATAAATAACTTTATAAGATTGCCACCAATCATGGATTGTTCCCCTTAATAAAGTTTTACAATAAGTTAAGGCTTGAGTTCTATTATCAAAATTGGTTAAAATATATAGATTGCCTAATACAGTCATGTTCCCAATTTTCAATAACTTTTGCCCAGTCTTGGGGATCGTGTCGTGATATGTCTAATATTGTTCCTACTTGTTGTGCTGGTATATTATTGTAACGTCTACGATTTTGTATCCATGTATACATATATGGTATATTTCTATTTTTTACATAGGTTTCTTGTGTGGGATTTAATCGTTGTCCAGTGGTATAGTCATCGTTTATGGTATTAATACTACCTGTGGCGTTAGGCATCTCTTGTTCTACTAACTAGGAAGCTGATCCTTCTGGTTCTTTTCCTTCTCCATGTTCTACTACATTTAATTCTTCTTTTAATGCGTTTAACTCATATGTTGTATAAAAGGATTCAAATCTTCCGTTTAGAATATTTCTTTTAATATCATCTTTATTTCCTTGTCCTAGGTAAATATTTTCTGTAAGTTTGTCTTTAGGTTCTGGATACTTATTTTGTAAGTCTTCTACTTCTAAATTGTCAAAATTGTACATTATTTTATTTAGAATTTCATCTTCTAATTTATCATAAAGAATATTTATTTCTTCGGGAGATTCTATTTCTACTATAGTAGTTAAGAATTCTTTTTCGATATCATCTGTTAAATTATCTTGTCTTTTATAATTACTAAACCTTATACTAGCTTCTCCACTTTGTTTTACCCTCATTATTTCCATGGCTTTTCTAAGGACAGTGGTCGTTCTCTATGTGGTTGTAAAAGATTTATACGCTTGGTGGTTTTAGTCAAGAAGGGATTGGTTGATAACTTCAAATCTTTTATTTTATCTCATAGTTCAGATAATTCTTTAGAAGATTCTCTAGGAATATTTTCTTATATTACTTCTAGTTTTTCTTCAAGTTTGTTAACTTTTTCAGACAACTAGAGTAATAACTGGATTAAAAAGTTATTTTATATAATATTTATATTGGTTGATTGCACGTCTGTCTTAAAACTTGTAAATCATACAAGGTCTTTGTCAATTTTAAAAAGGTCCGGCTAAAGCTGTTAGATAATCAGGACTACTAGTGCTCATAAAACTATTGTAATAATATTTGGATGTCTGTTTTCAAAGATTTTAAATATTCTATAGTTATTTTTTGATTTTCTATAATATTTTTAATATCACTGTTTATGTCTTTAATAACGACCAATATTATTTTGTTGTCTAGATTATTTGGACTAGAATTCTATTCTACTTGAATTTTAATATAATCTAGATTTTCTTCTAGTTGTTTTATAGAAATTCTATTCTACTCATAAACCTAACTAAAATCTTTGCCATCTACCTTCTAGAATATTCTGTACAAAAATAATTCTAAATCTAAGTTCTTCTATTCTTCATTGAAGGGTATGCGTTGTATTACCAAATTCAAGTGAAGTGTAATAGTTTCTAAGTGCTATTTGAAAATATTCTAGAATTTCTAAAAGTTCCTCTTTGGTTAAATTGTGCACAAAATAAACTTTTAGGGATTAAAATATAATTTTTGCTTATAAAAGGGTTAAAAATGAAGGTCTTCACTTTTGGTTCATGATATAGTAAATATGCAAACTACATCAATGATTTAGTAATAAAGTTTTGCTACCACCACTTATAAGTAAAAGTCTCAATTTTTTTTCTTTCTTTTTTTGAAGGATAAAGTTAATGGTATAAATTAGGAAAATATGTACAAGCCCAATAGGGCAACCAGCACCAAGTGGCCCAAAACAAAAACATTTACGAGAAACCCGCTAGAAGGCCCAGCCCAATCAATGAACAATTAGTTTTCTGTTTCGTTTTTTTTTGGGTCGAATAATTAGTTCACAACAGGTGAACTAAGATGATGAAGTTCAACATAACCCTGTGGTATTCAAACTGGCAGGAACCCCTGCATTCCGATCAATCAGGCGGCTTCGGGCGGTGGGCGTATAACAGAGGGAGGGAGTTCCTTCAGCCATTCAATCTTTGGCCAAACTTGCATTTTCCTTAATTTATCAATTGTCCTGTATCTTTCTCTAATAGGAGATTAAAAAAAACACAAATGTCACCTAACGTTCATGCAAAAATCTATAATAAACCCTCTTACGAAATAGAAGGAGATGATGGACCTAAAAAATGGGATAGACTAAAATTTCCATTTTGACAATATATTATATATGGGAAATGATGGTTGGCCCAAAATATTGTCCTACAGAGGCATAAAACCATCTTTAGAAGCATCAATTTGAGAAGGCTGAGAGAAAATGATACTCTAATTTCAATGAATACTCACTGCATTGTAACAATATACACATTTTCACCTTTTCTTCAACTATATAATTCACTCTGATTTAAATTTGATGTTCATGGTTCTATTCATGCCTTTGCCATGGAAGACGGCGTTCTTGATGGGGTGACAAGAGACTTGGTGTACGCGACTGGCAATGCAAGTATCTTCTTCGGTTTGCTAACATATGCCCTCCTTGTGAAGTTGTTGTAATCGTTGGCTTCAATCTCATCTAATATTTGGCGATACAATAGCAAGGATGCCCACACCTGCAATAGCCATCGTTGACATGCATTCATTAGATGGATTGAAGCACATTTAAGAACATCAATCTGCTAGATGGTATCCATTTAGTTTCTTTTAAATGAGTTAAAATGGCTGAACAATTGCAATGATGTCAAGATTCTGCATATATCCTAACTTCTTGAAAAACATGTCATGGCATGGCAATGTGTTATGCATCACCTAAGCTCAAACATGTCACAGTGGTCATGTCCAACGCCATTTTACATTATCAAATCTAAATCTATAGCATGATGAGGTGTTATATCATAATAGTTAGATCAGTAAAATTAGCTGACTACTTACTGGCCATCTACTAGCTGAGCTCAGCTCCGTGACACCCTTCTCTGCCTCGTCAAAAAACATCCTTGCCCTCTTAATTTGATTCTTCATGAACTTCCTCCATTTATCTGTTACCTTTCCTGCAAATATGTCATCATCTGAAAGCCCTGCCTGTGCCAGTTCGTCTCGGGGTAGATAAATCCTTCCTCTTCTGGCACTGGAGGAAAAAGAGCATATAAGAAGAAAGCAAATAATTTTGAGCAACTATCAATCACAGGGGTTATCTTATGAAGAGTGTGCTGGTGTCTGATGAATTTCAACAGTGGCATTTTCTCAATTGATTGTCATGAATATAAGGAAAAAGTGAAATCAGAATCTTGCAAGCATTTAAGAATGCATTGTTGATGAAAAGATTCTGATTGAACATATCTATTTTCGTTTGTCTCTAGCAAAATGTGATCTTGGAGATTTGGACAGTCTTAACCATTTAATCCCATGAATAAACCTCTTTTATGGCTTGTGGTTTGGTGGTTCAAAACTATGTGAGTAAGCTTAAAATTTGCAGGAAATCAACTTTTATAGCTCTCTGCTTACTCTTCTCCAACATCTCTGAGTATGTTGGTCAACTGATTTGCGATCCCTAATGCCAAGGCAGCATTATAGACGCTCTCTGTAGTTGCCTGCGATTCAGGTGCAATGCCCATAACTGGAACACTCATCAATCCAACAGTCCCAGCCACATAGTAACAATAGAGATATAGCTCATCAAAGTTTTCATATCTTGACTTTCTAAGGTCCATCCTCATTCCTTCGATCATATCTTTGAATGGCTGCAAAAGAAGAGATTCCAAATTTAATAAATCCTTCGCTGTAAATGATGTGGAAACAAATCAAAGAGCTAGATCCAAAAATAAGAGGATGAACACCCAAAAATATTATCTAAAACGCATTTGCTTATGAAGGCATAATGCTGCAGCGTACTGGGGGAAAAGATGTAGCTAGAAAGAGAACGGCTCATGGGATGCATAGGTTTATGACACATGGAGACCATTTCTAGAAATCAACAAAACCTCCTTTCATTATACTAAACACAGGATTTAAAGTGAGAGGCAAGAGTCATCAATTATAGTAGAGGCAACGCTTTCAATGCCCTCACCTCCTTGATAATGTAATCATCAATGTGTTTGGCTTTCTCGAATGGGAGAGAATGCCAGCATGCAAAGGAGAGAGTTCATAATAAATACCAAACACCAACTTTAACATATTAAGCGTTTAAGAGTAACCAGTTGCTAACACGCAGAAGACGTCAACATGAAGCAAAATAAGGCTTTAGACCTGCCCCCGAAAAAAAATTGAGTAATAACTACTAAATGAAAAGGAGACTATCATCGCACTGTTATAGCCTAGAGCAGCTTGGTTGTTTTAGTATTATGCAAAAACTAAAGTAATTTCTAACCTGAATGTCAACAGGAAACTTCACGACTGTATCTGATAGAGCAGCGTCGAGCATATCAAATGGCCGTCCTTGAAAAAGATCTTCCAGCCTTGACTCCCACCTATCCAGAGCTTTAGGTGTTATATGTGATGCATTAGGCCCATCAACAAGCTCGTCTGTCCTCCTACACCACACTGTATAACAAAAGAAAATAATAAGAAATAGAAGAAGAGACATTTATTTTTCTACATCAAATCCACACTGTAAACACCATTATGACAATTGCAATACTGTATATTTTTCCTTTTTTCAAGTAGAAAAAAGAAAAGAAAAGAAACCTACAGGCAATAAAATGTCCTAAATTTTATATCAATATGTAAATAATCATGTCACAACTAGTACAATGGTTAATAACACATGCTATAAGATGGATAACTACGTATTACAATACCCTATTTCTGTCATAAATGGATTTAATGGTAGAGGTTTTGGTAGTCATTTCAGGAATCAGGAAAAAAGATCAAACTACAACTAAAATTCCAGATTATTTTTTGTTCTCGCAAGTTGAATAGAATATTAATTATCGGGAAATCAAAGATTCCTGAAACGGCTAGAGCGGTTAGAGAATCATATGCTTGAAATTAGTCAAATTCATCTATCATGACAAGAAGTGATCATGCAGATCAGCACTCTCCATTTCTTCGATCCCTGGTCGTCTAAAATTAATACTCTTCGTTTCCCTGAAATTTCCCAGCAGTCTCCATCGTTCCATAGGAAGAGAATCATATTATTTACAACTTTTTGATTCCATATAGTTAACTATAGTTGGAGCCTATTACCTCAACTAAATTCTTCCATATTGGCAACATCTCAGTTGAACAAATCATCACTTACCATCTCACATGTAAGGCACCACATCTAATTAGCATGTCTGAAGCACTTTTGGTATGTTTTTAATTTTTGGTAAGTAATTGTAATTTTGGTATGTTTTAAAGTGAAATTAAAATGATTTATGTCTCTATCTCATTCACAAACACACAATGGTTGGTGCTGGTCAACATTATAAAAAATTCAATGGCAAAATAGTCCTACCAACAAGCACAAAGTCAAAGTTGAACAGTTATACCAAATAATACTCGAGTGGGAATTGTCAATCAGTGAAACTGGACCATGGGCACCATGAGATTTGCTTTGACAAGAAAACTCTGGTTCCCCGTTAAAATTAAAAAGCAGACTTTTCTTGTGTGATTGCATATGAAAACAGTCATCATTCATGCACATCATACAATTTAGCTTTCATGTCACTAATCAAAGAGAGAAGAAAACTATTATGAAATACCAGCCAAAATGTCCAAATTTAATTTTCCAGATGAATATTGCATGTTAGCAGAGAGTTCTTTTTCAGTTTAGATATTTATTCTTTGTTATTTTAACACTAAAATATTCTGTACCATCTCGAATTCTATTTCAAATGCGAAATTAAGGTACTAATTGGAGATTATAATATGCAAGACTCAACTCGTGCTAATAACATGCTAATGCAACCTCACCATATATCGCCCAAATAGCTCTGCGCCTCTCGGGAGTCATTAGCAGAGTTCCTGAAAAATACAAAACAGAATTAATAAGACAACAATTACATAAACCATAAACTAAAGTTGTTTCTAAGTATTAAAATAACGGGTAAGAGAATGCTAACCCAAGTAAAATGTCTTGGCATACTCTGCACAAACCTCGCCACACCGGTCATAAGCTTCACTCAGCAAGCTCAGATTCCCGGGTAAAATGATATCCGGTTTCACATCAAGATCACCACTGGACTTTAACTGCTTCTTGACCAACGCCGCCTGCTTCAATACAACATCGTAAACCTTCTGCTCCGATGAGACCGCCATTTCTCCGGCCGCATTCACTACGATACTAGAAAGCACATGGGGAAATTTGCCCCCATTTTCTAAACCGGAGGCTCCTAAGCAAGAATATCTCAATTCTGTATGGAGAGGGCAAGTGTTGCACCTATTTTTCTTACCATTCTCGAGTTTGGAACTGCACATCAAATTTTGATCTCGACCAATGAACTTGGACGAATCTAATAGTCGGTTTCCTTCTCGGACCGACTCGAAAAATCCAAAGCAATTTGATACCACCGAATTGGGGGACACAACCCATAACAAAGCAACAGACATGCTTGAATTGAAAATTTCTGTACTCTTAAACACTCTTGAAATGCTTTTTTTTTTTTTTTTTTTTTCTACAATTATTCAAAACACATTAAAGTCTAATTTCTTCTAAAGAACAACCAATTCACCTTTTGGGAAATGATTAAATCAAAACAGCTGACCAAACAGAGGTATTGATTTATTGAGCAACAAGTGAATCTCTCTCTCTCTCTGAGAATTCTGTAAAATGAATGAAAACCCAAATGCTGTAGTGTGATGCAAAAATCAGACTCTGATAATAAACACTTATAATCGAACTAACAACAAACAACACAAAACCCCATACAAGAGCTCGAAAAATTGGGATTTCTAAGAATTTGGTTGTAGAAATTGAAAGCTAACTGCTCTAGACACTCTAGACACTTTTTTGGGTGCTTTTTTGGGTGACCGATGTCTTCGATGTTGAGCCAAATGGATTAAGATAAGCTCATTTTCTCGATAGTTCATTACACGTAGATGCTACTATTTTCCTAAATCTATACCAAAATATAATAAGTCTCCCGTTTATTGGTCCAAACCACGCAATTTAACCAAACTTTTTTGCGCTTTCATGGTAAAGGAACCAGACAATGGCCACCTTAATCACTTCTCTACCGACCCACCCAACTCTTAAAACTACCACATTCTTGAAATTTCATGTTTTTGTCTTTTCCCTCTCTCTCTTTGTTATTTTTTTTTTTTTCTCTGAAACCCAAATTTTCTAGTTCTTTTCTCTGGTATAAATGTTTATGGACATTTCTTTTTCTTTTTTTTTTTAGCTTTAATTATATTAAACATCCAAATGTCCATCACCATTGAATAAATTTTCATTAGTTTTTTTTTTTCATCCAAATATCTATCACCATTTAATAAATTTTTATTAGTTAAATGGTGATGGACATTTGGTTGTCTAATCTAATTAAAGTTAATTTTCAGCTTGTTTTGTTGTTTCATAAAATTGAAAATTAGCTATTAAAATTTTTAATACCTAAATTTTTGGTGATTTTTACACGGAATTTCAATATAGTAACCATTCATTTTTGGTCATGTGTTCCTTTTAAATGTCTTAATTCTTTAAGACCCACCCAGATAATAGACCCGGATGATGGATATGGTTAAAGCAGCATCGGTATTGATTGAGTAGCAACTTAATTTAACACAATCCATTGAAAAGGATAGGAAATCTACACGTGGAATCCACCGCCAATAAATGGAAGATAACGTTATCAAACTAGAACTGGTGAGTTCATACACGTGGCAACCTGTGAATGAGGGCTTATGTTTTGTCCTAAAATAAAAATAAAAATTATAACTGTATGTAACGGAGTGTTTGGGCCCACCCACCATGTCTGTCTTGGAGTTGAAGTGGAAAAAGCCCATGATGTGGTCCGCCTTTCCTACGTTCGTTCGCTCTGGCCCGGTTCGAAGGGCCGCTTGGTGACACGTTACCAGTTTGCACTTTCTCGGCTCTCTGTGCTCATTGCTCACATCATCACCTTCGATGATGCCAGCCAATGCAGACACAGGAATGGTGTAATACTGCATTTGGTGTACATAGAATGCTCATTTTAATAATTTATTTCTTTGGTATATAATTTAAAGTGAGAATGATCATTTCATTTTCAAGTAATTTTTTTTAAAAAAATTAACTTTCCAAAAAACTCTCATGTATGTTTCAAGTACAAAAATCATCATTACCTTCCACCACAACCATTTCCGCCTTACTCACCACCGCCACTACCGCCACCGCCTTTCACCACCGCTATCGCCACCGTTTGCCGCAACCACCACTGTTAACTTTCACCACCACTACCACTGTCATTGCCTTTCACCACCACCGCTTTTCACCACTGTCACCACCTTTCACTACCACCACAGCCCTCCACCACCACCACCATCGCAGCCACCGCCTTCCACCACCGCCACAGCTTTCCACCACCGGCATCTCCTTCCACCACCTTCCACTACTGCCATCGCCTTCCACCACCTTCCATCACCACCAATGCCACCATCTTCCACCACTACTACCGCCTTCCACCACCGCCATCTCCACTGCCAACGCTTCTTTCCACCACCACCATCGTCACCACCGCCACCTCCATTGCTTTCCACCACCACCAAAGTCACACCACTATCTCTTTCCACCACATTACTGCCACCGCCTTCCACCAAGACTACTGCCACTTTCCACAATTGTAATGTTACCATTTTTTCCTATTTTCTATTTTAGGGAATTTATTTAATTTTTCTGGATTATTTTAATCCTTGCCTCGTTTTGCGTGCCATGCGGGGCCCGATGGGCGTTTTAGTCATTTTTTGAGCCGAGAGTTTTATAAGTGTATTTTTAGTCATTTTAAGTCAATTAGAAGTGACGTTATCATTTTTAGAATTTTTCAGAAGTCGGAATATTGTAGTCAGTTCACATGCATATACATATATGTGTAACTATATATTAGAAAGATATTTTATGGGATTTAAATGGAAGGAATTGTTGAAGTGAGGGACAAGATAGTAAAATGACCAAAAGTTGATTCCACTCAAAACTTGACAAGTGGCACATTTAGAACCATGGAATTAATTGCAAAAAAATCAATTAGTTCCCATTCCTCTTCATTTAGCCGAAAATCCCTCTCTCTCTCTTTAGTTTTCTTTCTCCTCTCTCTATATATCTATATATCTATATATACATATGTCTTCATTGTTGCAAACCTTGATTTGAAGGGGTTAGAGTGAGATTTTGGAGGCGACCAAGAAGGGGAAAGTTGGAGAGCTTGGAGAGGTTGTAACGACCCTAAATGATGCCAATTTTTTATAAAAAAAATTTCGGCATGACCTCCGCTAAAAATCGTCCTATAATAACCTGTTTAAATGCATTTTTAACCTGTCCCAATACAAATATCATATAATACACTCCATGGTGGTATAACCACTTACTATATCATCCAAATATCATATTTACAGTCCCAAATTACAAGATTAATATCAAATGTCCATATTTTGCAACATTTAGATAACTTATACAAAAGTTATAGCCCATAGGTGTAATTAAAAAATGAAAAATTCATAAGTTGTCGTACAAAATACATTATACTTAGTCTTACAAAGATAGTAAGACCTAAGTACAAAAAGAACAAAAAAAGCTCCTAATCCATACTAAGTCGGTGGTAGAATGTCATCCGCCACTTCTTTTCCGTTTCCTGAAAAAAATGTTAAAATGAAGGGGTGAGCATAAGCTCAGTAAGAAGTGCCTAAGGTACACCTCTTGAGACCCCGTGAATCCACACAATGAATAGGAATAAGAAAATTGGGATCATACCATGCCAGGAGTAAAAGTATAACTACGATACCACATCATTAACCCAATACCACAAATAAATATACCATGCAATGAGTTGCCGTGCCATGCAATGTCACTCCCCATTTTCCCAAAACCATTTCCATTATCATTTTCAAAACCGTTAGTGAACCCGTCCCATGGCAACTCCATGGCGGCACGAGAAGAGGATTGGCCACTATCCCTGACCTATGGCAACTCCATGGCGTCATTTGGGGCCCAGGTAACTCAACCACACTAATGCGATCTCCCTAGTCCCCTCTAGGTCTCACTAACGTTGCGGTCCCTAGGCAACTCCTAGGCGGTCGGGTTTTTCATAAAATCCTTTTCAAAATTCTTTCCCAAATATATATATATATATATATATATTATTATTATTATTATTATTATTTTTCAAAACAACATTCCCCATTTCTTTCCAATGAAGTGCATGTATGTTTCCTATTTTCATGCCATACCAATATTTATCAACACACATGTAATTTCAAACTCATGCCATTTTACATGCTTTACAAGAATTTCAAAGAAATTATCACATTACTTACATTCAATAATAAGCTAGCAGGATTAAACATGTAAGACATGAATTCTATATCATTCAAGTATGCTATTACACATAATATCAATTAAAACATATAGTCATGTAACCCATTTAGAACAATTTAATCATTTACAACAAGATCAACCAAAATAACATGCTAAGTTGCAAAATCAAGAAGGAAATTCACTAAGGTGCAAGAAATTGTACATTAAGAACCCCTACCTCAAAGGAGGAGAAAATCCCCAATTCTCAAACCCTAGATTCGAAAATTCAAGGATGCTCCAAACTAGAAATTGCTCCTAACAACTTGTTGATCTCGTCGTGGGCTTCGAATAGCCGCAAACGGCTCTTAAAATTACTAAAAAATGAGGAATTAATTAAGGGTGAAAGCTTGAAGTGAAAAAGAAAATAAAAGAAGAGAAGCAGAGAGGAATACAGAGACGGGAGAGAAAGAGAGTGAGAAAGGCAGTGACCAAATGTGATCTAATAACCACTTAAAAAGAGGCGTGGGTCCCACCTTTTTTAAAAAAAAAATTCTTTTCTCTTTTTTTTTTTTTTTTTTTGCTTTTAAATTATACCACACACAAATATATATATATATATATGCACATATATATATAAGGTACAGACATTACAGAGGTCTTCCATTTGGCACCCATATTGCTAGGGTTTGGAGAATTTCAAAGCTAGGGCTTGCTAAAGCCTTGTTTGATTTGCTATCTTGAGGTATGGAAAGTTTAAATTATGAGTCCTATGGTTTTAGTGAGTTTCTATGTATATTCTTACTTGAAATCTTATTGTTGTGTAGCATGCTTAGTTTTGTAGAGACTTAGGTTGTGTTGTTCAAGCATGATATATGGTTAATTTACGTGATTTGAAATGTGGGTAATGTGTTTTTTATGCTAATTGTGCATAACATACTAATTTCTATGTTGAAATGTGGAAATATAATTTGTATGATTGTCTTATGTTTTGTATATCATGTATAATGATGTTGATTTAAATTCATGAATAGTATTTTGATGATTAATAGCATAAATTTCAAGTATTTTTTCATGGGTAAATTGGGCTTACGAAATTGAAGTCATGATGCGAGAATGAAGAATGAGGAGGGAATTAATGTTGTGGTGTAAGTTCGGTTGAGAAGTGAGATGATGGTTGTAAAGATTTGATGGGTTTTGGGTTGGAAGGAAAGAAAAGGGCAATTGCATCTCATGTGTTGAAATGATTTATGAATTTATTGAATTTAATGTTTGAAGTTATGGTTAACATTCCCATAACCTCTTCTTCTTATTCCTCTTCTTTGGTTGTGGTTCACGGGATTATTAGGAATGTAATTTAAGTTTTTTCTACTCAGCTGTTGAGCTCACCCTATTTTTATTAACATTTTTCAAGAATTCAGAGATGAGCCGGTGAATGATATGCATCCATGAATATTGATTTAGTTAGGATTTCATTTTTTTATATATATATATTAATGCTATGTAAATTTCGGCCATGGAGGCCTTATTCCTTGTATTTAATTCTTTTCAAATTGTATAAAATGAGATTTGTGTAATTCGGTTTTTAAACGATGTATTGGACTTGTATTCGATTTAATTGAAGGGACAAGGTTTAGTTATGTTTTTACACTGTTAATTGCATGTTCGGGACATGTTTTAGACCTTAAATAAGGTCACCAAGGGACTATAGGGGTGTTCATGTGCTCAAGTATTCAGTTTTTAGGCTTTTCTGGGCTAATTTTAAGGTTCTGGTCATCTTGAACCGGTTAAGCCCCGTTGAACCGGTTCAAGGGGTGCATTTGGTTTATG